TCAGTCATCGTGCTCAATATAACTTTTTGCTTTTTTTCTTACTTGTTTTCCCCCAGGTCAGTGTGAAGTGAACTTATTTCTATTTTCTTGAAGGTTCACAACTTTTTCTCTTTTCTTCATCTTTTTTTTTTTTTTTTTCCTGTATGGGCCAAAGAAAGCTTTCCCATTTCCACAGATTTTCTTTTTCTTCTCAAATTAGTGCCTCAAATGCCTCTCTGAAAACTCAAGTCCACCAATGACAATAGTCTATTTTATTAATTTTGTATTACTTTCCAGTGAAGTTAATTTACATAACTGTAGTATAAAATACAGATTTAATCAAGAGGCAAAATAGGAGGGATGGTGAACAAATTATGATGTCAGATAAACAACTACTGCCAATGGTTGTTTCCATTTATTTTTAAGAGACCAGCATTTGATTACCCAGAACACAAGCAGGCATGCACTTGGCAGTGTTTTCCCTACACAGCTATTGTGGTGCCTTGTAAGGGTGCAGCCATGGCCAGTCACCTTGGTTCCTTCTCTTGGAGCCTGCTACTGCTTCTTCTTCAGGTGGTTCTGCCTGATCAGGATGCTGGCTTAATCATTAAAATGGAAGGTATGGCAGTTCACTAAGGATTTATCTCTATCAAACTTGAATGAACTGGAATGAAATATTCTTTATTACTAAATTCTAGATTGTGGTCTTTGTCTCCTCAACAGTTTCTTGATTTTTATTTTTTAAGAGACAGGGTCTTGCTCTGTCACCCAGGCTGAAGTGTAGTGGTGCCATCATAGCTCACTGTAATGAACTCCTGGGCTCAAGTGATCCACCTGCCTCAGCCTCCCAAGTAATTTGGACTACAGGCACATGCTACTATGTCTGGTTAATTTGATTTTTCTTTTCTTTTTTTTTTTTTTTTTTTTTTACAGGAGAAAAAATGAAGAGAAGCTACTCTTTCCTTTTTGGCAAGCAAGCAACCTTTCCTTAAATTATTGGGTCACCATATAGATTTCCAAATTATTGTTACTTTTGTTTCATCAGCTGTTTTTTTTTCCTTCTAGTTATAAATGATTTCAGCAATTACCTTAGCTCTTCTCAATAAACTTTCATTTACATACCTTCTCATTATTTTACTGTTGCTTTATAATGCCTCTGGCCTTTGCTAAGTATGGTACTTCGACAACAAGATATTTTTTGGTTTTGTATTCAACAGTATCTTTTGCAGTTCTTATATTTTCTGACTGATTATACTTTTAGGTGGTGCTATGGCGTGAATGTGTCCCCTAAAGTTTTGTGTTGGAAACTTCATCCCCAATGCAACAGTTTTGAGAGGTATTTGGATCATGGGGACCTTTGAGAGGTGTTTGGATCATGGGGGACAATGCCCTCATGTATGAATTAACAGCATTATCTCAGAAGCGTGTTAGTTATGGCAGAAGTACATTTCTGATAAATGAATCAGTCTGACCTTCCTTCTCTCCCTGCTCTCTCACACTCTCTTGCCCTTCCACCTTCTGCCTTGAGATGACACAACATGAAAGCCCTCACCAGATGTCAGCACCATAATCTTGGACTTTCTCACCTCCAGAACTGTGAGAAATCAATTTCTTTATAAATTACTCAGTCTGTGGGATTCTGTGATAGCAACACAAAATGGACCAAGACAGGTGGCCTATATGTTGAATAACTGATTTTAAAATTTTTTGTTATGTAAACTTCCACTCTGATATATATATGTGCAAAATTTAAGTACATTGTCAAAACAGAAAAGTAACCTTTTCCATTTTAAATGATTAATATCCATATAATACTCAAGTGCTATAAATCTCTCTTTAAAAGTTCTTCTATATTCTCTTTCTAATTTTGAATCAAGGGCTGAAAATTAATTCAATAGGCTAGCTTTTCTTAATATATCAAGTGAGTAAGCATGTTTACACGTGTTCATTTTCTTATGGCCTGCAGGAGTTGGTAGGAAATAAAAGGTCCAAAATAAATAGATTTTGGTGGACATATTAGTAGAAGCAGGTTATGTGAGATACAACAAAGTGAAAGAACCTCTTCGTAATTGGAAGCTTTTGGGTATTGATGGACTGATCAAAACAGGCGAGGCTGGCAGGAAGCCTGTGGTGTTTCTAGATTTGTGGCAGTGTAGGAAGCTAGAATTTGGCTGATGGGTAGGAGAGTTACTGGGAAATGAGCTAAGCTTGCTGTCAGGAATTATTAAGTGAAGGGGTTTACAGAACAGTAACTTGGAGCTGGATTCTCTTAAAGAAGTCTGCGCCCAGTACCAAAGGAACTAAAGGAAAGGGTGGGAATAAGGGAATGAGGCCACGACCTGGGTGGAACATGGTCTCTCCTCCTACAGGATGATCTGGAAGGCTGTGGAGCAACCTGAAGTCCCCAGACACACATGGGAAGAGAGGTGTGTGGAAGGCATTGAAGAGAAACATTGCTACTTTATAATTTTATCTGGTTACAAACATTTAAACGGTTTAAATTTACAAGTATTTAAACAGTTTTCTGCTATGTGTTTGTGTTTACAGTAACTATTTAAAATCTACCAAAGCACCAATTAACAATTTATTCCACTCTCTGGTTTCTTTCTAATCTAATTGCTCTGTCCCTACAAAGTGTCAAAATTATAGATAAATACAGTGTTTTCTCACAGACACATCTATTTGGAGCCTTCTTATGGATAGCGTTGAGTGCCAAGGTTACCATGAGTGTGCGAACATGAGTTGACCAAGAAAAGTGATTTTCATCTTGTTTTCCCAAAGGGATATTCAAAATGCATAGGGTAATATCAAGTAATTTCTATTTAATTAAAAGTAAAAAGCATCCTGTGTAAGAAATTTGACTAAAATAAAATTCTAATACTACTGGAGCTAAACTAGAGGCAATTTATTTAAAAACATCTGAAAATGTTGACAGTGCTACATTTGGGTTCTAAGAGCAATCATTTTCACTCACATGTGGACACAGCATAACAGGTAACTGGAAATATGAGTCAAGAAAAATAAATTAATTTTATCTTAGCCATGTACACAATTTAGAGAGTCTGCATCAACTAGATAGTTTCCTCATAACTTTGTGTGTATAGTCGAACACCTGGAGAAAAATAGCTCTTTGATATTTTGGAGCATCACTTTTGAGTAACGTTCAGATAGCTGAGTCAGAATGTTTTCTCATCAATCCAAAAGCTATTGTTCACTGTTGACTAATTAGTTCTAGCTCTTGGCTAACTGGGGATCAACATCCACTCCCTTTATGGTTTCAAAGGAAATAGGGAACAACATTTCCTTTAATTATCAACAGTATCTTAGGCTTAATCACAGAACTACTTTATTTGATATGGGACAAATCCCTAAAGTAAAACACAACTTTTATTGGACTAGTAAAGAAGAAAATGTTGGTATTAACATGTATTCATGAAAACGTGTTTCCATGCTGCCAAGAGATGGACAAAGCATACTGGGAAAAACTTATATTCTATTACTAACTTCAGATTTATTTTTCAAACTATGAGCTTGCCTTTCATCACCTAACCAGCTCCACCTTCTAAGTGAAGTATTTGATCATGCCAGTCCAGAGATGTCACTCTTCGCAACTACTGAGCATTCGTTGCCTCTACACATTCATACTTCCTTATGATATTTACTTTTTCTTCCCTTTAAAAACACTTTTTTTGACTGTTGCCCAGGCTGGAGTACAGTGGTGCAATCTTGGCTCACTGCAACCTCTGCCTCCCAGGTTCAAGGGATTCTCCTGCCTCAGCCTCCCGAGTAGCTGGGATTATAGGCGTGTGCCAACATGTTTGGCTAGATTTTGTATTTTTAGTAGAGGTGGGGTTTCACCATTTTGGCCAGGCTGGTCTCGAACTCCTGACCTCAATCTATCTGTCAACCTCGGCCTGCCAAAATGCTGGGATCATAGGCGTGAGCCGCCGCGCCCGGCCTCCTCCGATTTTTTTGTACTGTAGTAAAATACACACAAAATTACCATCTTAACCATTTGTAAGTGTCAGTGGCATTCAGCACATTACCATTGTCGTGGAACCATCACCACCATCCATCTCCATAACTCTTTCCATCGTGCAAAACTGAACCGCCCAATCACACTTACCTTTTTTTTTTTTTTTGAGACAGAGTCTCACTCTGTTGCCGGGGCTGGAGTGCAGTGGCCTGATCTCAGCTCACTGCAAGCTCCGCCTCCCGGGTTCACGCCATTCTCCTGCCTCAGCCTCCCGAGTAGCTGGGACTACAGGCGCCCGCCACCTCGCCCGGCTAGTTTTTTTGTATTTTTTAGTAGAGGCAGGGTTTCACCGTGTTAGCCAGGACGGTCTCGATCTCCTGACCTCGTGATTCGCCCGTCTCGGCTTCTCAAAGTGCTGGGATTACAGGCTTGAGCCACCGCGCCCGGCCCCACACTTACTTTTTATGAGGTCTAAATAATTTCTTATTACTCTTATCACTCCGACATTGTAAGCCCTGTGCATGCGGCACCCATGTATTAGTTATACATATAGGGTATCTACTACTAGGCATTGTTCTAAGTGCTTTGCAAATGTTAACTGGCATAATTATTTATCTTTGTATGTTCTGCAGGATCTAGCAGGTGCTTCGCACGTGAGAGCCAAAATATTTGAGGAATGAATTTCGGTACCACTTAAACATTTCCCAGTGACTCTGGCTGTTATTCTGGTTGACAAGTTAGGAAAGAAGCAGGTTACCTTGGGGAAAACAACTTTCGGGGCGTAATCTGATATTAGGTCGCAAGTTTAAAGAAGTCCTTTATTTTAGCCACATTTAGGCCAGGTTTCTAATAAGGGAAGCTAAGAGGGAAGTTATTCCTAAATGATAGAGAATATAGGAAGTGACTCAAGGCAGTTAAGGTCTTGGCTTTCTAGGAGCACCGGGTTCTACTCCACGAAGACTCGGGCAACGCGGAGACCCAGGGATGGGACAGCCTGGGATCTGTCCGCCGGGTAGCGGGCGGGGCGGGGCTCCGGGCAGGGGCGGGGCCGGGCTGGGCCGGCCGGGGCGGGGCGCGCGACTGCTCCGGGCGGCGATGGCGGCGGACGGGGACTGGCAGGATTTCTATGAGTTCCAGGAGCCGGCCCGGAGCCTCCTGGACCAGGAGAACTGTAACGCGAGCCCCGAGGCCGGGGCGGGGGCGGGGGCCGGGGCCGGGGCTGGGGCGGGCGGGGGCGCCGACGGATTCCCGGCCCTGGCCTGCAGCTTGGAGGAGAAGCTGAGCCTGTGCTTCCGCCCCTCGGATCCGGGCGCCGAGCCCCCGAGGGCGGCCCTACGGCCCATCACGGAGCGCAGCCTCCTGCAGGGGGACGAGTGAGTGCGGGCCCCGGCCGGGAGCGGGCGGGAGCCTCCCCTGCCCCTCGCCCGACCCGCTGGCCCTCGGGCCGCAGCTCCTCCCCGCGCTCTCCTTCCGCCTCCATGGACGCGGGAGTCCCCGCCCTCTCGCCTCCCTCCTCGGGCCGTCGGCCTCTGCTCGCCCAGCGATTTAAATCCCCTGCCCCCCGCCCGCCAAGCGCCCTGAAAACCTCCGCCTCGGTGCCTCCCACCGTCCTTCCTGCAAACCAAACCCTCGTTTGCTTTAGAGGGGAATCGCCAGTGCAGAGCCATAGTTTGAGACGGCACTTCCTGGGGCACGTGTGTCGCCATTCATTCACTCAAGTCGCATTTATTAAGCACCTGCTGAGTGCCAGGCGCCGCTTCGCACAGGGAAGACCAAAACGACTGGACATTGTCCCTCCCAAGTTAGGACACGACGTAGGATGGGAGATAGATGTGTAAACAAATATTTGTATGGATGTAATTAGTGCTGCAATGGTTGTATGTACCAAATGTGGGAGACTTAAAAGCGTATGTCTGGGGGAGAGTCAGGAAAGACTATAGAGAAATGTGCAAACGAGATCTGACTGATGAGTGGGAGTGTGCCTGGCAGGTGGAAAAAAATCTAACGTTCAAGGTGGAGTATATTGCCTGTGCATAAGTACCAACGAGCGAGGCAGCATTTAGGGCACAGGAATCTGTGGGACCCATCCGAGAGCCCTGGTAGAGTGCGAGCTGCCACAGAGACGAAGACGAAGGGCCCTGCTTACTGATGGTAACGATCGCATGGGCTGGTGGGGAGACCAAGGCATACACAAGTAATATTAATAATTACAGAATCACCTAAGTGCAATGATAGGAGGTTCATGGGGATTTGTGAAAGCTGGGGGAGGGGAGGCGCAGAGTTCCTGAGGGCACTTTTTAAACCTCCCTGAGCCGCAATTATAATTTGGTTAAGAGTTGTAATGAGGTACCATGGTTTTACCCCCAAAAGTTGGTAAATAGGAATGGTGAGAGTAAGGGGACTTGAGCATGTTGTGTATATAGGGGGAAAGGAGCCTCCGGAGAGGCTGAAGGTAAAATGAGTGGAATAAGATTGGGTGCGGTGACTCACACCTATGATCCCAGCATTTTGGGAGGCTGTGGTGAGAGGATGGCTTGCTTCCAACATTTCGAGACCAGACTGGGCAATATAGTGAAACCTGGTCTTTACAAGAAAATTTAAAAAATTAATGGAGTCCAGTGGCGCATGCCTGTGGTCCCACGGACCCAGCTGCTCAGGAGGCTGCGGTGGGGGGATTACTTGAGTTCGGGGGGCGAAGGTTGCAGTGAGCCGTCATTGCACAGCTGCACTCTAGCCTGGGTGACAGAGCGAGACTTTGTCTCAAAAATGAGGACACGAGAAGGAATGGATTTTCAGAGCATTAATGGGATGGAGAGACTCTTAGAGGTTAGGGAAGAAGTTTTGAGAGACAGGGCAGGAGTTACAGGCATGGAAAGGAGTTTCCAGCCTGATTGTCTCCTTTCTTCTCTGAAACAAACAGATTTATCAGGAATAAGGTAGGAAGCTTGAAAAGAGAGCTTTGGGAGTGGGGCCTGTAAACATGGCTGAGCAGTGGCGCAGGCCCACCTGTGTTTGGAGATTATCTCCTTTATTGGTTCCTCTGTACAGTGTTCTGCCCAGGTGTGGAGAAGGGAAAAATTTATAACTGGATTTTACACACACGTGCATGCAGTCAGTAGCAAAAGATGACATTTTTGGAAGCCTGTTTCCAAAGAGAAGATAATTTTATGAATATGTAGATTTAGATACTCTGAATCACTAAACCCGGGACACATTCTGGATTTAAAAATTAGTGTAGGTTTATTATGTATTTGGGTTTATCAAGAGTAGCTGACTTAAATCAATTAGAGGATTGTATGTAGATCATTACAAGTCTTTATTTCACTTAGACTGTCAGGAAAGTAGGTTATTTTAGCCTTTGCTTAAAAATATGTTGTTGCTCTTGTTAATGGTATTTAGTAGATGGTATGTTGGTGGTAATTCATGTCTCTTGACTTGGGAATGCATAAGAAATCTCTTTTTTTCAGGAGTTGGGAGCTGGTCATCACTGGCATTGTCCCTTTTATATTACAGAAACATACTCAGCATTGCTTGATAGTCTGTTCCAGCTCCCTTTTCACTAGATAGAATTGATAATTGTTTTACTCAGATATTGCTGTGCTTTAGGTCAGAGGGTCCCCAAACCCTGGTCCACAGACCAGTACTGGAACTGGGCCACACAACAGTGAGTGGTTGAGTGAGTGAGCAAAGCTTCATCTGTATTTCCAGCTCCTCCCCATTGCTTGTATTACCACCTGAGCCACCTCCTGTCAGATCAGCCGCAGCATTAGGTAGGATCTAATAGGATTTAGAACTGCGCAGGTGAGGGATCTAGTTTGCAGATACCTTATGAGAATCTAATGCCTGATGATCTGTCACTATCTCCACTCACCCCCAGATAGGACCATCTAGTTGCAGGAAAACAAGCTCAGGGCTCCCACTGATTCTACATTATGGTGAGTTGTATAATTATTTCATTAGATATGACATAATAATAATAGAAATAAAGTGCACCATAAATGTAATGTGGTTGAATCACCCCAAAACCCTCCCTGACCCCTGGCACTTTATTTAACTTCTCTGAGCCTCAGCTTTTGTTTTGGTTAAATATGGATTGTATTATCTACTGAGGTTTTACTTGTAAGAGTATTCTGCAGGAATTAATGTTGGTAGGACTTTGACCTCCTTGCAAAAGAGCTCTCCTGGCCATTGTTTAAAACTGGTTGTAATGCTTTATGATAAAGATGAAGGCAGTTCATATGTCTTGACTGCAGAATTCTAGAAATCTTTCACTAGAGTTGCCTCTATGGCCTTCCAACTACCATTGTTTTGACCTTGGTGGAGACTGTTAATTGGCTTTCATTTTCTTGGAAGAGCAAAGTCACCGACAGGTGCTTCTAAGTGAAGTATTCCTTCCCATTTGCCTTTTTCTTATAGCCTCGTTTAAGAAGGAGCGAATAAGCAGACAAAACAAATGCCTCAAATTCTGGATTGTCTTCACCTGCTTGTGTATTCTACTCAAGTTCCTGACCAGGATTAGTTCTATAGTCAGTGATACGGTTTGGCTGTGTCCCTACCCAAATCTCAACTTGAATTGTATCTCCCAGAATTGCCACGTGTTGTGGGAGGGATCCAGGGGGAGGTAATTGAATCATGGGGACTGGTCTTTCCTGTGCTATTCTCGTGATAGTGAATACGTCTTACAAGATCTGATGGGCTTATCAGGGGTTTCAGCTTTTGCTCCTTCCTCATTTTCCCTTGCTGCCGCCATGATTCTCAGGCCTCCCCAGCCATGTGGAACTGTAAGTCCAATTAAACCTCTTTTTCTTCCCAGTCTGGGGTATGTCTTTATCATCTGCATGAAAATGGACTATACAGTCAGTTATTCAGTGTTTGAAAATTTCTTACCCAGGAGGGTATGAGCCAGAAACCCGGCAAGTTTAGCAGTCTGCAGACATTGCCTCTAATTCTACTTCATTGGCATTAGAGGAGATATGATTCCAACAGAGAGGAGAATAGGAATGGACCATGCATATGGGAGATTTGCTGGGTAAATGAGTTAGTTCTCTAGAGCTTTTTGGGTTCACATTTTTATTGAGGCTAATTTTATTTTTTATTTATATATTTTTAGAGACAGGGTCTTGCTCTGTCACCCAGGCTGGAGTACAGTGGTGCCATCATAGCTCACTGTAGCCTTGAACTCCTGGGCTTAAGTAGTCCTCCTGCCTTACCCTCCCAAAGTAGCTGGGACTGTGGGCACATGCCATGGGCCTGGCCAATTCAATTTTTTTTTTTTTGTAGAGCTATGGGTCTCCCTTTTGCTGCCCAGGCTGGTCTTGAACTCCTGGCTTCAAGCAGTCCTCCCACTTTGGCTTCCCAAAGTGTTGGGATTACAGACATGAGCTACCAGGCCTGTCCCTAATGTGCATTTTAAAGCCAAACATCGTTTGGGATGTTATGCTTTTAGCAGTTGCAGTCCTATTGCTGCTGCTTTTTAGCGCCCAATCCCTATTTGTTAACTATGTTATGTCTGTATTTTAACATTTTCATTCTTGGGCTTAATACCTAGGTGACGGGTTGATAGGTGCAGCAAATCACCATGGTGTCCTGCAATGTATCCCGGAACTTAAAAAAAATTTCATTCTTATGTTTATGTCCCAACCAGGATTGTTTTTGTATCTTAGTGTCTACACACTTGGAAGGAATTCACAATTAGATACCTAATATACATTTTAGGGTGTTTTTTCTACGTGACATCTTTGTGTATACCTCTAGCTAGTAAGTAGCTCATCTGCTTAGTGTTTGACTTTACTTATCCCAATTAGATTTCAAGTCAATTGCATCTCTGAACTTTAATTTTTCTTAAAACATCGTGTTTTATTGTGCCGATTATTACTTTAGTATTGAAACCTGAATTTTGGTCATGAAATTTGAGTTAGGTGTTCTTATCTGGTGTGGTTTGGGACTCTCTTCAATACAGCTCTTTTGAATTAATGCTTAGAGTAATGGAGCTGGAAGGAGTGTCTGCTTCTTGCCCAGGTCTCTCATTTATAGAAGGGCAGAGGATACCTAGGGAGGTTAAGGGGCTTGGCCAATAACTCGTTGTTTGAAGAAGGATGGAGACAAGCGTTTGTTTCCCTAGTCTCAGTCAAATGCCCTTTCCATTTTACCCTCTTGCCTCCCTGTAATGCTGTTGGGTAATAAGGTCAGGTAACTGTATTGGATAGAGCCTGTGTGCATTTTATTGTGAACTCCCTCTCCTCCTCCTTTTCATCGTATCTGCCTTAGTGCTTAGCTTCTTTATTACAAATTAGACATTAAATCCTGTTCTCACATCGAGAGTGAATTCTTTCTCCAGAAAAGATAACAAACTTTTTGTTTGAGAGAGATTTTTCACTTTTCGAAATGGTTTGTGTGTTTGAAGTTACAGAAGAAAAAGAAGTGTAATGCACAGTTGTATTTATTACTCATGTGACCCTGGAAACATTTCTTACCCTCCCTGTGTTTCAGTTTTTTCATCTGTAAAATGAGGATAATAATGGTTCCCCCTTCTAATGTTGTTTTTGAAGATTACATGAGTTAATACATGTAAATTGCTTAGAACAGCGCCTAGCACCTGATACAATGCAAGTGTTGCCTGTTGCCTATTGGGAGTTTTCTGTACGCCTTCACCTTCCCTTAGGACTTCTTGTCAGCCCAGTTTTGTGATTTTTCACCTAGTTTTTGTTCAGGAGACTCTACTTTGTTGATGTTTTTCTGAGAAACAATGTGCTTTCTGTTTTTCTCCTTTGACATTTGGTGATCATCTTTGACTGAATATTTGTTTAAGAAAGACGTACAGAATGTTAATTTTAATTGATTGTAGCTTTCTTCTTTTTAAGGATTTGGAATGCCCTGACGGATAATTATGGGAATGTGATGCCTGTAGACTGGAAGTCATCGCATACTAGGACCTTGCACTTGCTTACTCTGAACCTCTCAGAAAAAGGGGTAAGTTAGGAATTGAACCAACAGAGTTTGAATAACTCTTGCTGGTAATATAACTAGAACAGCAGCATTTCTGCTTAACGCAGATTCATTGACCTGCCTCTCATTTCCGAACTTATGGCAGTTGGGGTGGCTCTGTCTTGCTGTCTTGGCTCTAGGGCCATTACCTCGCTGGCACATTCCTCCAGTTCTTCTCCAGCACACTCACTTTTGTATGTGTAGCTAAATTTCTATCGCAATTTTTTTTTTGAGACGGAGTCTCGCTCTGTTGCCCAGGTTGGAGTGCAGTGGCTCACTGCAACCTCTGCCTCCCGGGTTCAAGCAGTTCTCCCACCTCAAACTCCTGAGTAGCTGAGACTACAGGCATGTACCACCACGCCCGGCTAATTTTTGCATTTTCAGTAGAGATAAGGTTTTGCCATGTTGGCCAGGCTGGTCTCGAACTCCTGACCTCAGGTAATTCACCTTGGCCTCCCAAAGTTCTGGGATTATAGGCGTGAGCCACTGCGCCTGGCAGTGATGATGCACTGAAACGCTCAGTACAATTTCGATGCACTGAAACACTCAGTAAAAATGCTGGCCTTTGGTTTAATATACTGAGGGTATTGGAATCTCAACATGGAGTTAACTTTTGAATGAGTGTAGTGACCTGCTAGACATCATATGTTGTCAGGAGACTACTGGAGAACCTTTAAAAGATATTTTAGTTCTTGGCTTTTTAAATATAGTCTTGGCTAACTTATCTTTCTTGAGGGCTCCTGTGTATGTCCTGGTATTATAAAGTGAAGATGCTTTGACTAAGAAGTGTGAGCACAAGTGATAGGACAGGTTGGGGGCAGAAAAGGGCAGACAATTACTTGAAATGCAAAATCACAGTGTTAACTTTGTTTAAAGCTGTTGAGAAACATAGTCAAATTATCTAAATTTCAGGCTGTTTAAATTCCTTATCAAATAATAATGTAAACTCATGCCAGATCTTGCGTGCTCTGTATTTCATTAAGTGTAATTATGTGATTATTGGGAGTGTAGTGCAGTAGGCCTGTCAGTATTTTAAATAGTATTGTTAATGTTTTGTTAAAAGGATTTTCTTATATATGTAATCAGAAAAGCCTACTGTTATTATTTTCTAGTAAAATGTAGAATTCTGGCTATATTTCCCAGTATTCAGTAGTGATGGAAATCTTCCTGACTGTGCCAATCGTTAATCCCATTAAGCTTTGCAGACTGACCTGGCATACATTTAATGAAAAGGAACAAAATGAGGGATCTTTTGCTCTGTCTTATGTTTACTTAGGTCCTGGCTATCATTTTGGGCTTAGTTCAAGTTTGCCTTCCTCTCTGAAGCTTCCTATTACTGTTTTAGCCTTCGCTGATCTCATGGAATTATATAATTTTAGAGTTGGAAGGGGCTTTAAAGGACACTTAATCCAGCCTCTCACTTGGGGGGAATCCCCACCTCCCGCATCTCTGACAGATGGTCATTTAGCCACGGCCTAAATCCCTGCACGGAAGAACACACTCCGCTCTGTGGGAACTGATGGCACTTGTGGGGCTGTGAACTTGGAAAGGACTTATTATCTGTGCCATGGGGTTTAGCCTTGTTGTCTCATGGGTGCTAGTACCCAGAGCACTTTGTCCCTGTCTCTAAAATGACCACCGCCTTCTCTTGTTAATCATATGTTTCTGGGTGTGTCGCTAGATTGTGACTTCCCGGCAGGTATTTATATTTGTTGTTACAGTAACCATACTGTTCCTGGCACATAGTAAATATGAAGATACCTGTTTATTGAATGAATAAGTGAGTAGCCTTCTTGGTGAAACTGTAGGGCCAGAGATCATGATAGAAAGGTTGTAAAAAAATATTTTCTATATTATTTAAAATAATGCAGAATGCACCGAAACCAGTCCATGGGTACAACTTTTTTGACATATTAAAAATAGCATAGAAGAGTTTTCATTCATAGTTTCAAAGACAGGCCCATTAGCAGCATGAATGAGACACATTAATCCAATTGCATTGACTAAATGTACAGTGGGAGCACTGTATCCCCTGGTTTCGCATCTGCTGCTTTAGCCAACTGTGGATTCAAAAACTTGAAAAAAAAACCCCACAGTAAAATAACGACAATAAAAATAATAACAATAAAAAACCAATACAATATAACAACTATAAACCGTTTACCTTGTATTAGGTTTAAATTGTAAGTATATTAGGTATAAATTGTAAGTAATTTACATATAATTTAAAGCTTACAGGAGGATGTGCACAGGTTATATGCAAATACTACCCCATTTTATATAAGGGACTTGAGCATCTGCAGATTTTGGTATTGGGGTATCCTGGAACCAATTTCCCATGGATACTGAGGGACTGCTGTATATCTTGTATTGTTCTTAGATTGCATCTTGGAAGTCGCTCCCTTTTGCTGCCTTTTGAATGTTATTTTCAATGCCAGGGTAGTGATATAGCCACGGTAGTGATTAGTAATGACGTAGAGTTTAATGCTAGTACTGACATTGAAAAGCCTTACCAGCCGGGTGTGTTGGCTCATGCCTGTAATCCTAGCACTTTGGGAGGCTGAGGTGGGTGGATCACCGGAGGTCAGGAGTTTGAGACTAGCCTTACCAACACGGTGAAACCCTGTCTCTATTAAAAATACAAAATGAACTGGGTGTGGTGGCATATCCCTGTAATCCCAGATACTTGGGAGGCTGAGGCAGGAGAATTACCTGAACCTGTGAGGCAGAAGTTGCAGTGCGCTGAGATCGCGCCACTGCACTCCAGCCTGGGTGACAGAGTGAGACTCTGTCCCAAAAAAAAAACAAAACCAAAAACAGCCTTACCTGGAGAAACTCAGCAGATGAAAGTGAACCACGTGGTCATTCACCTATCATCTCTCTGTTGTGACATGACTATTCCAGTGATGAATAGAATTGAAATTAGAACTCTGTTTCTCAGGGAGGATTAGCACATACTGAGTTTCTGAAAAACAAATGGGCAACAAGGACTATGTAAGAAGTCACCACGTCATTCTATTACACAGCATATAATTAAACATTTTTTTTTTTAACCTGGCAAAGTTACTGTATTTACCGTTGCCACCTGGTGCTCTATTCGTGCGATGATTAAGCTAAGTAAAATTTACCTTTTGAAAGCATTCTTTAGATTATTTTACTTATAAAACAAAGTCTATAGAAATTTTTTTTTTTGACACGAGGAATTTTTTTTGCATTAAAGTGAGAAAAACATTCAGGAAAAGTAGTCTGCTGGATTGCAGTTTAAAATTTTTCTTTGATTGAAGATTAAGATGGCACACTTCTAAATTTGATAGGTCTTTTTTAGAGTAAGGCAAGTGGTATCTTTCACATTCTTACGTGGGCACATTTTTTCCATTTGATGTATCTTCAGTTTTATACAGGGAAACAGTACCACCAGGTCTGTATCTAACCCTGGCATTGGAAGGAGTGATGGGAATGCTTGGCAAAGAGAAGGCACATTTATGCCGAATGGAAGAGTGAGTAATGATACCCAGGACAGCCAGGGCTAGTTTGCAAAGCCTGAAAGGTATTCCAGCTCTTAGCATATGCCATCTCTGTGGGGAATGGACTTGGCTCTCTCTCTGGAAAGATGATCTGGGATCATTTCTGTTGTCATGGAAATTTATTATTATAGTTTACTGTTATTACTCATGTGTTTTGGCCATAAATCTATTCTAAATCTGGTGCCATTCTTGACTATGCTTATATGATAGAATGCTTCTCATTCATTTCAGCTTAAGAACATCTTCTGTGCTGTATTTCTCCTTCCCTGTACATTTCTTTCAGGACAGGGACTTTTGTACGCATCTTTATACCTGTAAGAGTAGAAATAAGAAAAAGATAATAACATCTTCCATAGAAGCAATTTGATTGATTGATTGATTGACAGATTGAGAGGGTGTCTCCCTCTGTCGCCCAGGCTGGAGTACAGTGGCGCCATCATAGCTCAGTGTAGCCTCCAACTCCTGGGCTTAAGCGATCTTTCTGCTCCAGCTTCCTGAGTAGCGAGGACTACAGAGGAGCACTGCCATGCCTGGCTAATTTTAAGAAAAAATATTTCTGTATATTTCTGTACAAGGTCTTACTGTGTTGCTCAGGGTGGTCTTGATTTCCTGACTTCAAGAGATCCTCCCACTGTGGCATCCCAAAGTGTTGGGATTACAGGTGTGAGCCATGGCAACCTGGGCTTCCTTAGCAGTAATTTTTTTTTTTTCTTTTGAGACATGGTCTGGCTCTGTTGTCCAGGCTGGAGCGCAGTGGTGCCATGGCTCACTGCAGCCTCCATCTCCTGGGCTTAAGTGATCCTCCCACCTCAGCCTCCTGAATAACTGGGAGTACAGGCATGTGCCATCATGCCCAGCTAATTTTTTGTAGAGATGGGATTTCACCATGTTGCCCAGGCTGTTCTCAAACTCCTGAGCTCAAGCAATCCACCCACCTCAGCCTCCCAAAGTGCTGGGATTACAGACATGAGCCACTGTGCCCACCCCTGATTAATTTTAAAATTAAAACTTTTAGTATTTATAAGCCAGAAGGGGAAAAAGAAAACAAAATCATGGTCCTCAAGCTGAAACATAGGAAGAGTGATTGGGAAGGGGGTGTGAAGTGTTTGAAGTGTAAGGATCGATGAAGCTAATTGGTAGGTCTCCTCCATGGTATCGACACGCCTTTGTGATAACAATGTACCACGTTTTCATCTTCTACAATATTGAAATCATATATCCCCTCTCATCAAGAGCCTAGTCTCTTGATCTTTCTCCTTCTTTTAAACACTAAATTGTTAAAGGAACAGCTGTCATAGTTTAAAGAGTAAATTAGAACTGTAGGACTTAAATGAAAAGGCAGTCTCTGCTCCACTTACCTCGTCCTTATTTCTCCTCACCAGAGGTGACTGCTTTAAATATCAGCTATTCCTTCTAGCAGATAACATGCTCATGCCATTTTACTTGGTATTATTTTCTCAATTTTAGACTTTATTTCTTTATTTTCTACCCAGAGTGAAGGTTTAGCTCTCTTACTGTCCTTTGCCAACCCCTGACACCATACCCTCCCAAAAACTTCCCTTTCCCCATCTTCCCAATATAATTACATCAACATCTGGGATTGAATTAATCATCATTTATATTTACTTTTTTAATGTGCAGTTGACCTATTTTGATATATTTAGATTTTCTCTTTTTCTACTTCGGTTTTTTCTTAGGATACTAACTGCCTTTTTGTGGTTTATTTAGTTTATAATTAGCTGACCAGTTCAGCCTCAGTAGAGCCATAGAACTCATTTTAGTAAATGGACTGCACCAGGTAATCTATCTAGTCCTTCTGCTCTCCCTCCCCACCCACCTCTCCCTCTTCTCCATGCTCTCTGCAGTAACAATTCTAATCTGAGTGTTATACTCTCTAGTTTAGCTTTACAGTCGTCATTCTGGGATTTTCACTTTACTATCATGATGAGAATTCTCTTTGTCACTTGTTTATTAGACCACATGTCTTTTTTCTTTTTCATTTTCCTTCTGGTAGCTTTTTGAGAAAGGGCACAGGAGAGGTAAGTTTTTTCAGAACTTGTATGTCTGAAAATGTCTTTATCCTAAGCCCCTGCCAACTTGTTTTAGCTGGATATAGGATTCTAGGATGCAATTTCTCCAAATATGGAAGTTACATTGATTATTTTCTAGCATCTATTGTTGCTATTGAGAAGTCACATGACATTTTGATTCCTGATCCTTTTAATGTGATGTACTTTTTTTTTTTTTCTTCTTCTTCCCTGGATGATTTTAGATTCTTCTTTTTTCCACATAGTGTTCTGAGTTCATGATGCTGGTGTTGAAGGCCATGGCCAGGCCTTTGCTAGGCTGATAGTGCAATAAGAAATAAAATGAGAAGGGATATCGTTACTTTGCAGGAGCCTGGAGTTGCACTGTAGGGTTGTAGGTGGACCCTGCAGTGTTAATGGGGCCCTTCTCCCAGTCTAATGGTGGAAAGTCGACATGCCAGTGCTTCTTCCCTTGGCCCTTCTCACCTGTAGGTTTCTTACTCTGTAGGCTGTGTTCGCCTGCAGACTCCAGATGCTCATGTTATGAAGAACTAGGGAAGCACTAGGGACCTACATCCACTCCATTGTGTCCTTAGCTTTAGATATATGTCCTTTGCATGGGTAAATAATTTTGCCAGGTAAAAGTTTATCATTTTAGTTATACACTATGTAATAGAATGACATGGTGGCTTCTAACGTAATTCTTGTTGCCCATTGATTCTTTGGAAACTCAGTGTGTGCTAATCCTTCCTGAGGAATAGAGTTCTAATTTCAGTTCCATTCAGCACCTGAATGGTCATGTCGTAACAGATAGGTAGATGATAGACAGATGTTCACTTGTTCATTTTAATCTACTGAGTGTTTTCAGACCAAGTTTTTACAATCAGTACTGGTACTAAACTCTAAGTCATTATTAAGGGGGCTGTTTGTATTGGTGTGGGCAGAGTTAAGGGAAACTAACTAGATGTGGTGCAGTCCCCCAGGCTGGCAACAGAAACTGGTACTTTAGCTGTCCTGGACGTGAAGAGGTAAGGAGGGGGAGAGATTACCAGAAACTGTTGAGATGGGCTGAATGGGAGAAGTCTGCTAATGAGAGCTATGGCTTTGGTGAAGAGCCATAGTCAACAAATGACAGTCTGACAGGGAGGAGGACAGCAGAATACATGCCTAGCCCTCACCATCCCACTGTCCAGTCTCCCAGTGTCTGCCAGTAGGGTTGAACCCACCTGGAAGCCAGACAGCAAGGGCATCCTTTGATGTCCTCCATACCTCCTGGAGCACAGAGCAGGGTGGAAGATGGTGAGGAGGTGAGTGGTGAATCACCAGCTCAGTTAGGTTTAAAGATGTTCTTGGAGCCTAGGGTTATTAGTTTTTGTTAAGAAGAAATGTGCAATTGGAAGGGCTAAGTGTGATGCTCGTGGACAGATCCCGCCTTTCAGGGAGTTGATTATCTTTTACTCAAATATCAGAAGTTAGTTTGCAAGTAACTAACTTTTATGTTTTCTTTAGAATGTTAACGTCTACCAGTCTTACTGTTTATTGCTAAACCTACCCATATTCTCCCTTCTATTAGCTGTAAATTCCCTATGACTTGCTAACGAATACCGTATTCTTTCTGCATATCTGTCAGCTTTTATAGCAGCCTTATGCAGCGTCTTAGCGATTTCATATTCTACATTCTTCTCATTTCTGTTCAAGATGAATATGTACTCATTGCCTGGTACAGAGTGATTGTAATAATTTCTCCCTCTCGCGGGAAAGCTCTCAGTAGTTGCTTTTCTCTGCAGCCTCTTTTACTCAGAGCTGTTAACTTTGTTTTGATCAGGATGTCCTGCTTTTAATGGTGGGTATTTTTGTTTTTAGGTAAGTGACAGTTTGCTCTTTGATACGTCAGATGATGAAGAGCTGAGAGAACAGCTGGATATGCACTCAATCATCGTCTCCTGTGTTAGTGATGAGCCCCTCTTCACGGCAGACCAGGTATAGAGGAGATACTCAGCAACGCAAGGAAAGGAGACTCTAGAGCTGAAAAATGGCTTCTTATTATGACAGCAAATGATGGCTGTTGGTTTACTTATCTTTCCTATTTTTTTTTTCTTGTTATACAGGCTTAGTAGTTAACTCTTCCACAGAGAAAAATAAGTATTTGTGACCTGAAACAGAAGGGATTATGTGAGTTGGGAAGATTTCCAACATAGGCCTTGTTGAAGAGTATAGCAAGGTACCAAGGAAAGGTTATTGCTTAACCCCAAACCAGGAAAATATTGTGAATTTCCTTGTTCCTTTAGATTTACCCAAACATGGACAAACTGTCAAGTATCTGTGTAGAAATTATTTAGTATCTTCGAAACCCTGGGTAAAAAGCATTCGCATGTATTAAAGTAACATATTGTGTGCCCCAGAAAGAAGTGAGCATTATTCCCGTGGAATGTGCTAGTAAGGTCAACCCCGTATTCACTTAAAACCAGTCGAATCAGCTTTCTCATTTTCTGAATACTCTTCCCACCTCTGTTGTATTGTTGAAATGTGATGCCAGAACTTCTTCCTGAAATAAAATGTTCCATGGCTACTTGGACTGTGAATTCTACCACACTCTATTTTTAGGCTGGAAAGACAAGGTCAGTAAGGAGATACATTATGGCAAGCTTGGGAGAGGAGTACATTAAAAATTTACATTAAAATTATGTTATTTGGATCCTCCTTAGTCATATTTGTGGTTGAATTGTTCTAGGCGTGTAAAGAATGTGGTGCTTAAAAAAGCAAGGTAATAGTATGTTGGAGGGTTGTTTTGAGGTAGAGGGTAATCTAGGGATAGACACGACCTTGAGAATTCATTGTCCCCTCACTGACCTGCCTAATACCATAAACTCTCCCTGTTTTTCAGAGCTAGAATAACAGATTCTGTAGGATCCTTGAGTGGCTCGTTGTGCCATATTATATTGCCTGTTTTGGAGACTCTTATTTAATTAACATAATCCCATCTCCTTCAGATTTGCCTTTATTTTTCCTTGGTGGAAATGTTACCTGTTAAACGTTTAATTCATGAAGCATGGTAAATATGCTCATGATGTCTTACTCTTTCATTTAATTGTATTTAATTTTTTTTTTTTAACTTTAGCTCCTTTTTTCTAACTGTTGAGTAATTTTCCTGGCTTTCCTTTACATTTTCGCTGAGTTCTATATCCTTCTCAACTTTCAGAATCTGGAACAGGGCAAGATACTGTCGTAAGATTTGAGCAGCACTGTACTAGACAGTAGATCATTGTTTCAAGGCAAATTGTATTTCTGAAGTTTTTCTGCTTTTCACAGCATTTTTCTCTTTGGATTTCTACTTTTTAAGTAATTCAAAAAATCCCTTTATTTTTCATTGAATTAATATATAAAATTATTTTTCTGCTGTTGAAAGAGTATTTTGCTGTCATGGAGGTCATTTCCCATTTATATATACTTTTTTTGTACTATTGTATTTTCTAAATTTTATGTCAGAATTTTTGAAGAGATATGTTTAAATTGAGCACTTGTATGTCTACGGCAAATTTTCCGTTATTTGCTTTCTTCTAATGATTACTCTGTGATCTGGTTCTGGCATGTCTGAAGTAAATTATTATGTGTTTGTAGCACGATTTCCTAGACTTTGCAAGACATGTTAGGGCCTTCTGAACCATGATGGACATAGTAAATCCAACTCTATTTAGGTTTGTGTTTAGTATATTGTAATTTTTTCTTGATAAACCATGTTCACTCCTACAGTCAAAATTTTGATTATTCAGAGCATCCACACCTGAACATCATTGGTTAATGGAGAATTCAGTGCATTTCTGCTCTGGGTGCCTTAGGTGAGCACTGTGTTCCAGCTAGATCATTTTCCTTTTGTTTATTTGATTAACAGTGGTATGTATGTTTTCGAAGGTTATTGAAGAAATTGAAGAAATGATGCAGGAATCACCGGACCCAGAAGATGATGAAACCCCTACACAGTCAGATCGGCTTTCAATGCTTTCCCAGGAAATTCAAACTCTTAAGAGGTCTAGTACCAGCAGTTATGAAGAGAGTAAGGGAGCCTGCTTAAATCAATGATTTCTGTGCTTTTTGTCTATATCAAATATATAGTATGATCATCTCCAGAGAGCTTTGATTTAATCCTCCTTCTGTTTGTGTCTGTGTCCAGATTTGCTTTTTTGTTGTTGTTGTTGAGATGGAGTTTCACTTTTTGGCCCAAGCGGGAATGAAGTGGTGTGATCTTGGCTCACTATAACCTCTGCCTTCTGGGTTCAAGCAATTCTCCTGTGTCAGCCTCTCAAGTAGCTAGGATTACAGGTGCCCACCACCACGCCCGGCTAATTTTTATATTTTTAGTAGAGATGGAGTTTTGCCATGTTGGCCAGGCTGGTCTCGAACTCCTGACCTCATGATCCACCTGCCTCAGCCTTCCAAAGTGCTGCCATTACTGGCGTGAGCCACCATGCCCGGCCCCAAATTTCCTCTTATAAGGACAGCAATCATATTGAATTAGAGTCTATCCTAATGACCTTATTTTAATGTCATTAAAGACCATATCTCCAAATACTGTAACATTCTGAGATAGTAGGGGTTAGGACATCAACACATGAATCTGGAGAGGACACAATTGAGTCTATACCAAACCCCATCATATTTGAAGTGTAGAATAGATATTCAGTAATTCTTTGTCAAATGCAATTCCTGTCTCTACAAGTAGTCTTATGTGTTACTGTGAAGAATTTTGGGAACCATGGATCTGTTTGACGTATATGAGAATAATTAATTCTAGAAACTCTACAGTTGATTTTCATGAAAAATTTCTGAATAACTATACAGCCTGTGAAGAGCCTGAGACCGGTTGGAAGGAAGGTGTGTATCTAATCATTGCCATATGACTGGTCTCCTCCTTGAGTAGGCAGTGACAGAGTCTGTATCTGCTCAACCCGTGTTGTCACCTAGTTTTATCTTTATGGCATGCCCAGTCTGAAGCTTAGTTACCTAAAGAACGTTGGTTGTATGGCTTCAACATACAGATGGTCAGACAGACCAAAGTCTTTCAGATGGTCTGATTTGACCATGCTTCTGTAGATACGGGCTAAATGGCGTTAAGGTCCTGACTCCCAAATACAGTCCTGATACTTGATATAGATACTAAAATCTGTATTAGTTCGCTAGGGCTGCCAGAACAAAGTACCACAGGGTGGGTGGCTTAAACCACAGGAATTTATGTTCTTACAGTTCTGGAGGCCAGAAGTCTGAGATCAAGGTGTTGGCAGGTTTGGTTTTTTTCAGAGGCCTCTCTCCATGACATGCAGATGGCTGCCTTCTCCCTATGTCTTCACATGGTCTTTCTTCTGTGTTCTGGTCACCCTATTTTATAAGAATACCGGTCATACTGGGTTAGGGCCCATCCTAATGCCCTCATTTAACCTTAATTTACCTCTTCAAAGACCCCCTCTCCACATTCTGAGGCCCTGTGGGTTGGGACTTTAACAGTGTCCTCTCTCTCACATGGGGAGAAGTGCTGAGAAAAGACTGAAATGGGGTTTCAGGGAATATTGTTCCCCTTTGTCTTCCCAGTTGTTTAGTCCATTCTCGTACTGCTACAAAGAAATGCCTAAAACTGGGTAATTTATAGGAAAAGAGGTTTAATTGGCTAATGGTTCTGCAGGCTATACAGGAAGCCTGGCAGCATCTGCTTCTGGGAAGGCCTCAGGGAGCTTTTACTCATGGTAGGAGGCAGAGCTGGAGCAGGCATCTTCACATGGCTGGAGCAGGAGGAAGGGGGCCTGGTGGAGGTGCCACATGCTTTTAAACAACCAGGTCTCATGAGAACTCTGTTATGAGAACAGCACCAGGGGAATGGTACTAAACTGTTAGAAACTGCCCTCATGATCCAATGACCTCCCAGCAAGCCCCACCTCCAACATTGGGGATTACATTTCAATATGAGATTTGAGTGGGGACACATACAAACCATATCACCAATTTTCAACAAAATTCACAGATCGAGGCATATGTCATTAAGTATGTATTTAGTTTAATTCTTTTAGATCAACTCCTTTCCTGTTCAGAGATATCCCAGAACCCTGCTGAATGGCTTGCAGTTTCTTGTCAGCAGGCGGACTCTGTACTTTCCCTCTGCTTTTGTGTTGTGCTTTTCCATGTACAAGCCTTCACAGTCTTGACTGAAGTATTATTCATGGAATGATTTATTTGCACAAGTAAAAACTTTCGTTAAGACTTTCTTCCCAGCAAGCTGAGAAGTGATTCACCTGCCCACTTACCGCTACTCAGACCTGCCCTCCAGAAGTGTTAGAATTCTGAGAAGATCACACACAGTCAATTTAGTTGCTTGGAATATAATTTTTGCTCTTTGGCATTGATTACATAGGTGTTTATTTAGTTATTCCTAGTGACTGCTCTGTTTTGCTTCCTTGAAACGCTTTTGCCTTAATATCTGCTGTATTTTGTTTTTGGTCCTAGGAGTGAAAAGGCTCTCAGTGTCTGAGTTAAATGAAATCCTGGAAGAAATTGAGACTGCCATTAAGGAGTACTCTGAGGAGCTGGTGCAGCAGTTGGCTTTACGAGATGAACTGGAGTTTGAAAAGGAAGTGAAAAACAGCTTTATTTCTGTTCTTATTGAAGTGCAAAACAAACAGAAAGAGCACAAAGAAACAGCAAAAAAGAAAAAGAAGCTAAAAAATGGCAGCTCTCAGAATGGGAAGAATGAGAGAGGTCATATGCCTGGCACAGTAAGTGATGTTTTGCAGGAGGCGTCGAACGCTGGAAACAGGTTCTGTGGTAGTCTCGGCCTTCCGGGCTGGTGGCAGGTGCGACAGGTTGTACATGGGCAGGAGTGTTGCACTTCTAATCAGAGCCCAGGGGGATTTTACTCCAGAATACCACTGTGCTCAGTTTCTTCAGAAAGCCGTTTTCTTGACTAAAGTGTACTGGTTATCTGAATAATACTGAAATCTTTAGCAGGGAAGTAAGTGGAAGGAAGAGGGGGCAAAAAAGGAGAATGTCTTGAAGAAAAGAAGCCTTAGCAAGTGACCATTTTTACTACATCAGAATGTGAAGAGTGGTTATGTATATTTGGCTAGTAGTTTTTTTTTTTCTTATTTTTGCTGAACCCTTATGAGTCGTGTGATCAGAAATTAAAAGGGGTTTATTTAGAGGTAGCAGAACTCTGCTCAGGGCACAGATTGTTTGTAAACAGGTTTCTCCTGATTTTTCAGCAAGGTTGGAATACAAGAAGGTAAGTGACATCAGCCGTTTGGCCTACTATTTGGCAGACTAGACTGTTACTGACTGGTGAAAACAAGTTTAGAATGTGAAACGCTGACCCTTTGATGAGATTTTTTTCTGTCGAAGTCTTGTATATTTCTACCTTGATTTTGTTTGTGTGTGAAGAAATGTTAGTTTTATTTTTAGAGTATAATGGTTGGGTAAAGGGTTCTCTTTTTCTCAATGGAACATCTCTTTTAGATTTGTGATATCAATAACGTGGTCTTACAAATCACAAACTAGCTATTATGGTTTGCAACAATGTGAATTCTGTTTTGGTAAAGTCTGATTTATCTAAAGAATACTTACCAGAGAAATAGATCTCATTAACCAGATGCTGATGGAATCCTGGAAATACAGTTCTAGGATGTGGACCACCAATGAGCAGTTAACACAAAGAGACTCTTACCATGTAGCTCATTTATTATACTGTTATTAGCCTATGAATAAATCCATTTTTTTAAGTTTAATGTTCATTTGTATCTATTTCGAAAGGATATCACTTATACATTGACTTTGAAAAAAGTTTTCAGATATCTTATTTTTAAGAAATGGCAGTATTGATTGAATAGGTGTTTATTTAGTCATTCCTAGTGAGTACTCTGAAAAAAAACTAAAACCAACCCACATTTGTTTGAATATACAATCCTAGAAAATTTGCTTTAAAATATTAGGGACACTATTTTGCATTTGCATCTCATATTTTTAGAACTGGCACCCTTTAAATTGTCCTGTTATTTAAGTGGGATTAAATAAAATGCTTAGTTAAAAAGTCATAGCATGGTTGGTAATTTCTGCCTATTTGCTTTTAGGGATTACATGTAAATCCTCCATTTATTGCTGTTAACACTTGGCTGAGAAAAGTAAATTTATCCCTAGAGGGGTTTAAAGGCTTCTTTTTGTAACTCCCATGTAAAAAGGGTTAGAGTAAATCCATTGTGTAATTTTACATGGCATTTATATTGAGAAAGGATTTGGCAAGGCAACAGTTAGGTCTTACTTCAGCCTTCATTGGTCTTGAAATAGATTCATAGTAACAGTAAATATTTTTCATAATATTTGAACCTTTGAAGTTGCATTTTGCCTGATTTACAGTTTGTGTCAAAAATGTTAATCAGTTCAATAATGGCACGGCTAAGCTTGCAGTACTGGTTTCCTGTATCCTTTTAAAGCCTAAAATGCGGCTGGGTGTGGTGGCTCATGCCTGTAATCCCGGCACTTTGGAAGGCCGAGGTGGGTGGATCAACATGGCAAAACTCCATCTCTACTAAAAAATACAAAAATTAGCTGGATGTGATAGTGCATGCCTGTAATTCCAGCTACTCAGGAGGCTGAGGCATGAGAATCGCTTGAACCCAGGAGGCAGAGGTTGTAGTGAGCCGAGATTGCTCCACTGCACTCCAGCCTGGGCAACAGAACGAGACTCTGTCTCAAAAAAAAAAAAAAAAAAAAAAAAAAGCCTAAAATACCAGGGAAAGACCATCCTATCTGTGACACAAGTAGCCTGAAAGTTGCTCAGAATAAACCCAAAGTGAAATGGCCAGTTGGATAAACACATTCCAGGAGCTTGCCAAACATTTTACCAAGCATTTTATATCACATACAGTCTTGGCAAGACCTGGTCTCTATGAGTTTGCTATTATCAGTGATACTAATTCCTAAAAAATGGTGACCTCCTTAGCATTGTCATGTGTTATCTGTTTTTTAAATAACATCAGTCATTTTTTTTTCCTACCTGAGATATTTTTGTTTTATTAGCAGGACTTGGAGTTTTTCGTTAAGTATAGAATAACTTCCTTCTGTTTTTCTTGATGTATGTTTCACTGAAGCAGTACATCAGTTTGTAGTTGGCATACCACTTTATCTAAAATTGTTACCTTGTTCTCTTTGGTCCAAAGATACTCTAATGAAATATTGGAGTGGGTATAGATCAGAGTTAAACTTCTTAATTGTTAATTTTGGAGACAGATTTTGTTTTAAATATTTGTTGTGGTGAAAAAGAAAATAGAGGGCATAGGGATGGTATTTAGAGCATTAGAAAATGTCATTAGACCATGAAAATATGTGAAATGTTCCAGAAAGTATTACCTGATAAAAGTGAAATATTATTTTGATTGGAGTTTTAGGTTTAAAATAATCATAATGCTGTATGTCGGGTAAGGTGAAACAGCATTCATTCATTCAGCAAGGATTTGTGGAGTGTCTTCCTGCGGCAAGTGTTCTTCCAGATACAGTGGGCAGGATGACTCATGATGATAATTCTTGCACTTTGAGAGGCTGAGGTGGGAGGATCCCTTGAACCCAGGAGTTTGAGACCAGACTGGGCAATATAGTGAGACCTTGTCTTTACAAAATAAAAATTATAAAATTAGCCAGGTGTGGTGGCAAGCACCTGTAGTCCCAACTTCTTGGGGGTCCGAGGCGAGAGGATTGCTTGAGCCCAGGAGGTTGAGGCTGCAGTGGGCCATGGTCACACCATTCCACTTACAGCCTGACCCTGTCTCAAAAGACCCTGTCTCAAACAAAAAGCAAAAAACAAAGAAAACCACAGTGGTGAATAGAATAGAATAGACAAGGCCCATCCCATGCCTTCCTGGAGCTTATAGTCTAATGAATAGTCTAATGATGGAGAAAGGCAATAAACAAGGAAAATAATGAATAGATGATGGAACTTTAGTGGTAAATAAAGACCATGAGGAAAACCAAAGGCTGGGTGAGGCGGTAGATAGTGATGCTGTTGGGAAGCTGTTTTGGAGAGTGTTGCTACACCACTGCTTCTCTTTGACAAGGGAGACTGCCTAGTCCCTTTCCAATTCTCAGTTTGGAGGGGAGGTTAGAGGAGTGGACTTCTTTGGGAAATGCAATTCAAGAGAATGGCAGGCTTTATATTTCCTCTGTCCTTTTCTGCAGCATCTGGAGGAGCAGAGGATGGGGGTTAGAGAGTGGTTAAAGGGCACTGTCCATTTATCACTGTGGGGATTTACATGTATTTCTTTGTATTGACCATGCTATTTTGGGTGATGCTTCTTTATATTCAGTGTTCTTCTTCTGGAATCAAATTCCTTACCTCCTTCTTCTGTCCACTTGGGGGATTTTTCTTTTCCACTCATCCTTCAAAATCATGGCCAAGCATTGTCTTCCTTTCTTAGAACCTTCCTTGATGACTCTGTCTCTGATGCAGAGTTGACTACTCTCTCTTTTAAAGGGAGTTAGTATTATTCCTCTTCAGTATTTCTATTATCACTGTTGTATCATACTGCAGTTTTTTGTTTTCATGCCTATCTCTGTTTTGTGTCCCTAAGGATAAGAAAGTTAACTTTACTTTCTTGGTATTCTTAGATCCAACCTTAGGTACCTAATAAATTTCTGCTGAATGAATGAGTGAACGAAAGATAAACTTGCAAATGTATATTTCTATCTTGGACCTTTCTGCCAGGTGTCAAACCCATGGACCATGAATCGAATATTGACTAAGAACTTTGGGTTAAGAGCTGTGTTTGCATCTTGGTCCTGCCAATGTATACAGACGGCTTTGAATTTTGGAGAGATTAAATGAAATTATGTAAGATTAGCAAACATAGCAAACACCATGAGTAAATGCTAATTATTATATATGTCCAACTGCCTTCTAGACAATTCCCTTTGGATATCTTGTAGGAGTCTGAAATTTATACTGTTAAACCAAGGTTACCATTTTCCTAAAATTGAACTATTTTCCTTTGGTTAGCAAAACTAGTTTATCCACTCATTGAAACCGATAGAATTTCCAAGTCAAAGAATATACAGTTTTAAACGGCTTTAAATGACCAGCTTTTCAAATTATTCTGTAGAAATGTGGTCCAGTAAGAGCACAAGAATGGCCATTTTCCCACACCCCCCACCAACGGTGGATATTATGAGCTTTTTAATATACACCGATTGCATAGGCAAACAATGGGTTTGATCTATTGACCATTTGTATTCTTTTATGAGTTGCCTATTATGTTTATATGCCTATTATGAGATGTTTTCATATTTATTTGTGAGGGTACACATACTTTTGATATTGAAGCACCACACTGTGTTGTAATCATTGGCTTAAACCTGTCTTCTAACAGAGTGCAAGCTCTTTAAAGGCTCATTCACACTGCTTTCCCAGCACCTCACCTCATTTCTTGTTCTTTGCACATCACTTAATGCATGTTTGTTGAATTGAAACTTCAGCGTACAGGAGATTGAATCCCGGAGGATTTAGATTTTGTAGTATTTGAATTATTATTGTTCTATTGGGGATTTTTATTGGGGGAGCCAGGCTTCTGTTATATCAAACATTCACAGGTCATTGAGTTTCAGTAGCAGTTCTCATGAATACAAGAATAGGTCGAACAACACCAGGTTATGTTGTAATTTAGTAGTTGCTATTCATCTAGTGTTATCTGAAGTTGTCTGGGCATTATGGCCTACCTGCTTAGCATCATAACTTAGT